CTGCCATGTACCGACGATCGCGGCGATCGCCGACGTCGCCGCGATCGCCGGCGCTGTCGCGAAACATGAACGCTGCCTTACTGATCGGCTTCCGCGCAAGCAGACCACTCTTCCTCTCTAGGGGACGATGGTGCCAAATTCATTTGGGAAGATAGAAAGATGACCTGTACATCGGATGCTTCACATTTGATTGTATTGAGCCCCACCGCACATAGAAAGGCACTAGGATGCTGAATAGAAGTGGAATTGGGCCCAAGTCAACGACGGACATTTTGCAATTATATCTTTCCATCTTCATCTAATTTATTCTATCTACTTTGCCTGTTACTATCTATTTATTCTCATCTTTATTTTATCCTTTATGTCCACTCATGTGAGTTAGGATAGGCAACCCTGCTGACCAAAAGACATATTTATCAAGAAGCAATTCGTCCTCACTTCAAACGTACATGTGATGATGACATACCGAGAAATTCATGTTCTTTGTGAGCATTTCTGATGCCAACTTGTATCCTGGACTTTCGGAGGCATCACGTTCATCGCATTTCACGGATATTCCAGGAGAGGCGATACATAGAATACTCAGCACAGCCAACCAAGAGCGCATCCAGCCCTGATATTTCGTTATGGTGAGATCGATGCGATTGCTGCTATGTAACAAAGAGGGAGAGACAGCATATCAAACGAATGGGTTCAGTTTCTTGCAAAGGCACAGCGAATAATAAAGGTTCCTCGGAACAAAAAAAAAATGCGTCAGATGCATTGTGATGATCCGGTCTGTCACCTTGTTTTCATATGTAGGCGTGCGAAACAGTCTCATTTAGTGGTAAAAACAAATAGTGAAGTGAAAAGCCACTCATTTTTAGAATTAGGGACTACATATTCATAATAACTAAACTGTTGGCTTACTCGCTCATGTATCCTAGAGCGCCAGCCTCGCAGGCACGTGATAGCTGATAATTCGTAACTCATGGGATTTAATAAGCCGTAGCCCCGCTATCTCATACAGTGGATATAGTCGCAATCAGTCGCGCATGCCAAATGAAGTGGGGTTGAGCCCGCCTCCGCCGGCTTTTTCCACCAGGTGTGATACCATGGTGATCAGGGTACAGCATGGGGATGTGCGAAATGTCGGTGTGAGTACGACCCCCCTCCCCTCCACGGCTTTTTCGCCGACGACGAGCAATGAGTATATAGTCGGCGAAAAAGTTGTCGAGGGGGGGTATACAATAACTATGCACGTATACAGGGGGGGGGCCAAAAAAAAGTCATTTTGCCTCCATGACTTTCAAGGCGCTATAAGTTACACTTTATTAAATTTTTATCGGACATTTTTACTACCATATTAAAGAGCACATTAAATACTATAATGATACTCCGCCACAGCCTTCTGGAGGAGCGCCATCGAGAGATTCGGCCGCGCGAAAGTGAGTGGGTACCGGAGTTGAGCGAGATCGTTGATTTCTCCGCCACTGTAGACCACCCTATTGAGCTCCGCCCGAACCGAGTAATTGAGGGGGTTTAGTTCAGAAGACGTACTTCAATATTACATCGGTCGTACTCGTGAGTAGGGTATCCAGTCAGCCACGTAGCCCAACTTTCAGCAAGAGTTTCCTCG